ATACGATAACAGAAGATAAGACACGATAAGATAAGATACGATAAGATAGTACAGATTAAGATAAGATAAGATAATACAATATCATATAAGATGAGATGAGATAGGATAAGATAAGAGCATATGAGATAAGATGCGATAACATAAGATGAGGTAAGATACCATAAGAACAGATGAGATAGGATAATATAAGATGAGATGATATGCGACAAGAAAACATAATATAAGATAAGATAATATATTATAATGTACGATAAGGTAAGATAAGATAAGATGCGATAAGCCAAACTGAAATAATATAAGATAAGATCAGATAATATAATATACTATAAGATAGGAAATGATAAGATACGATAAGATAATATATGATAATGTAAGATAAGATATGATAAGATAAGATAAGATATAATAAGATACTATATGATAAAATAAGATAAAATAAAATAAGATGATATGATATGATATAAGATAATATAGGATAAAATAATATACGATAAGATAAGATAATACATTATAATATTACATATGATCAGAAAAGAGAAGAGAAGAGAAGAAAAGAAAAAGAGAATAGAAGAGAAGATAATAGAAGAGAAGAGAAGGGAGGGGGCAGCGGGAGGAGGGGTGAGAACGCTGAGCGCTGTCCATTCAAAACGAGTACCCAACACCACAGGATGGTTGGGAACAAGACACAGCCGAAGTCCAGCAAAACAGCGTTTAAGTCAGGCCCTGGTGCACGGCACATCGGACCACATCGCCTTGGAGTCGGAGTCGGATCGAATCGGCGGCGCCAGAATGCGCAACTTGGCGGCGCAAGCCCTCCCACGTTCCCCCACCCCCCTCTGCGTGAGGCCGAGTAAACATTTGTTTTTCTAGCGCTATTTTGGAGAGGAGGGAGAACGAGGCGAAAAGGAGACAACGCACACACCTGATCATTGTCCGACTCGTGCCGGGGAGTCGGCAGGCAACCCTGCCGCAGGACTGTCATCGCCCTTTCCTCCCGAGTGAGACCTGCTTGAGGCCGAGTAACCAGTGCCGTGCAAGCACCGGGCCGCCTCGGACCGCCCAAACCTCGGAATCGAAGCGAGTCGGGCCGAGCAGCGCAGGCATCGAGTCGGACCGATCGGGTCGAAGTGTGAACTCTGCCCTGGGCGCGCCGCCGGGAGAAACAACTGGGAGGAGGGACACAGAGGATGACTACCTACCAGACCACCCCAACCCACCCCGAAGACCCGAATTTCGGGTTGGGGGGGTAAGGTTTCCACATGTGTTTTTTCTATGTTTCCCGACCCCCCCCACACTGGAAATCGAGGGTAAATCTGAGCCTTCGGGTTGGGTTGGGGTGGTTTGGTGGGTGGCGACAGGAAGAAAAACAGCACAAGCATAAATTTTCGGAGGTCCGCGCTGAGTTCTTGAATCTGCGCTGGACACCCCTCCCTGGCGCACGGAGCGCGCCAGGGGCGGCGCTGGAGGCGCCGCCAAGGGGGCCCCAGCTCCGATCCAAGAAATCCGTGCGGAGCCCCGGCAGCTTGCGTACACAGTCGAAACCGAAAACAAGGATGGGCCATTTTCCCAAGGGTACCCTTGCATCCCTGCCTCGTCGGTCCATCCTCGACTACGTTCGGTGGCTCGCCGCGCTCGAAAAGCTGCCACCCTGGGCGACCAATGGGCCCATCGCGCATCCTTGCTGTCAGCTCTGACCGATGCCGTCTGTAGGGGAACGAAACAATGACATAAACATAAAAACGTGGGGGTCCGCGCGGATTTTTTGGATCCGCGCTGGACCCCCCTGGCGGCGCCTCCGGCGCCGCCCCTGGCTCCGCGCGCCAGGGAGGGGAGTCCAGCGCCGATCCGAGAACTCCGCGCGGACCTCCGAGTTTTTCTGTTTATGCCGTTTTTCGCTCACCTATTCTTTCTTCTCGTAGGACAGAGGCGCAGGCCGGGCTCAAAAAGAGAAGCCCCGCCGCGGCACGGCACCCAGGCGCGGTGCCGGCGGACGCGGAGGGCCGCGACAGACACAGGAGCAGACGAGCGCGTTGCACTAATTGCAAAGGAGCTACTCGCAAATGGCCTGGATCCGCCGCGGGGGATCTACGACAAACTACATTGAAGCAGACATGTGTTTTTTCGGGCCTTTGCGAGTAGGCACTTTGCGAGTAGTGGAACGCGTTCGGTGAGCGAGGCGCGAGAAAGGGCGGCGGTCCACGAAGGAGCGAAGGGGCCCTCCTGCCGGCGAGGTTTGGTACCCACGCCCACTGCAGCGCCGAGTTTCGGGCTCCCTGGACATGGATACGCCTCAACGTCTCGCTCGGAGGCTGGCTTTCTGTCCATGTCCGAAACTGCTGCTGATCGAGAATCCATACCTATACGACCACCTTGCGGGTGATAAGGAGGTTGCGGGGAGGGGGGGGCTCATGACGACGACAACTGTGATGAACGTGGTGCTGATGGGCGATGATGGTGTGGATGACGTGGCGGATTTGTTTTGTTCCTTCGCTCAGGCGACTTGTGTCGTTCGGTTTGCCGCTGCGCGACGCGGCAACCGGCGGGCAACCGACGGGACAACGTGGGCTACCGGCGGGCAACCGGCGGGCAACCGACGGGACAACGTGGGCTACCGCTTGACAAGGCTGGGGGGGGAAACATTTGTGTTGGCGGACCCCTAGCGACAGCAGAGTGAATTCCTCTCGCTGGCCCACGCAGCTTCGCCTCGCCCGCACGCACGGCACGAGCACGAACTCGAAACTCGATTTCCTGGTGGGGGGACTCCGTTACACTGCGATTTCACCCCCCAACCTCCGATACCCTGGATGCGGATCAAAAATCTGCGCTTCGAGGCTGAGCTCTTATCCATAGCCAGTGCGCCTCGGCCGGCTGGCGCTCCCTACCCCGAGAAAATCCTCGGACAGCAATCTTGCCAGCACCTTCTGCGGCCCCGGCGGCCCCGGGCCACGAGCACTCTGGATGGGACAGGGATCGCCACCCCCCCCCGTTGGATCCGCGGGAGGAGGGGGGGGCCCGTGCTGCCCGAATGAGAGGCAAAGGGGGGACTGCGGGAGGAGGGGAAGGGGAGGAGGAAGAGGGGGAGGAGGAGCAGGGAGGAGGCGGGAAGGAGGAGATCTTCCTCGCGCGAAGCCGGGCCCTGGTTTGCGGCAGGGGGCAGAGAGCACTCAAGCCAAAGCTATGGATCGGAGGCGCGTGCCCCGTAGACCTGGCCCGCTTTGCCCGGCTCCAGACATCATGCACACGAGCCAGAGCAAGGCGTTCACGGAGGGGATGATGATACTTCCCAGTAGTGCTAAGTTGGATATCATCCGAGTGAAACTATTGTTCGGCACACATGGTGCCCTGTCAAGCGCTTTGGGAGTCGTTCCTGTCCGAAGACGAGAATCATCTTGCCACTTGAAGCAGTCGGAATAAGACTGGAGGCCTCGATAATACGCGAAAGTCGTGAACCAGAACCATGAACCAGCTTGGAGCCACTCGGAATGCGCAGCGTGCTGACTAAGGTGTTAGCCAGCACCAGCGCGCTCAATCCGAACCAAAGCACTGGCCCAGCTGCGCGGTATGGCGATGGCAACCCATTGCAAGTGCCAGGAAGTTGCGATGGTGATGTGGTTGAGGCACGACTGCCTCCTTGGGCATGCTCACACCTCCACCTGGCCATCTGTCACCCAAGAGACGGTACACCAATAACACGGCCACTTGCGGTCGGAAGCGTTGGCCTCATCGCGCCTGAGGGCGAGTTGGGCGAATTACCGTGTAGTGTGCAGAACAGCTACAAGCTCAGGCTGTTCCTGGACTAGAGGGTGGTACCAACGTGGAGGGTCAGGGAAGTGCGAATGTTCGTTCACATCGCACTCTGCGCGTCTTCCGTAGATAGCCAGCTAGGATCGCTCCCAGCTCCGCTACCAACTGGAATTGCGAGGGGGGCGGTAAGAAGAAAGCATGACCTGATGCGTAACCTTTGTTCCCTATCAGATGCATGCACTCCGGAGCCTGAGCCCAGATAGCAGCGAGGCACCCTTTTCGAGTGAGGAGGCGGAGGAGGAGAAGGAGGAGGAGGAGGAGGAGGAGGAACGGGGGGAGCAGGAGGGCGAGGAGCGGGACGACGACGACGACGGGGACGGAGACAAGCAGGACGCCCCACACGATCGCGTTGCTCTCGCCCCCCTCGGGCGTCGGGAGAACTGGGACGCGGGCCTCCCCGGGAAGGCCGAGGGAGGAGGAGCGCGCGAGCGGGAAGGGCGCGCCGCACACCTCGCCCTCCCCCGGGGGGCGAGAGCGCCGCACACCTCCTGCGGGCGCAGCTCCGAGGCGTGCGCACCTCCCGGGGCCACCGGTGTCCCGGGGAGCCCGGGGGGCGGCGGACCGCAGGGTTGGGCGGGGCGTCCTCCTACGGGCGGGTTCTGAAGGAAGAACCAAAAACAGCCCAGACATGCCCAAGAATGCGCTAAAAACATGTCTTAATAGATCGTCCCCAGACTACGTTTCACTCTTCTTGTGCATTCCTCCTGTATGTGGAACAGGCCCGGCTGAAGTTTCGGGGAACGAACAATGACACAAAGCTAAAACTCGGAGGTCCGCGCGGATGTCTCGGATCGGCGCTGGGCCCCCCTCCCTGGCGCGCGGAGCGCGCCAGGGGCGGCGCCTGCAGACCTCCGAGCTGTTTATGTGTATGCCACTGTCCGCTCCCCAGGAGGGGAGGCCCGCTGTCGGCTTCAGCCTCCTCACATTCCTCCTCCTCCTCCTCCTCCTCCTCCTCCTCCTCCTCCTCCTCCTCCTCCTCCTTCCTCCTCCTCCTCCTCCCTCCTCCTCCTCCTCCTCCTCTCCTCCTCCTCCTCCTCCTCCTCCTCCTCCTCCTCCTCCTCCTCCTATTCCTCCTCCTCCTTCCTCCTCCTCCTCTTTCCTCCCTCCTCCTCCCCAGGAGGAGGGAGGCGCTGAAGCCTCCCTCCTCTTTCCCCCGAGCTGCTTATGTCTACCTTTGGGCCCGCAGAGGGGAAGGCCCGCAGCAGGCCCCCTGGAGGCCCTGCCAAAGGAGAGGCGAGGCATCCGGCCCCCAGGCGCGCTGGGTCAGCGCGCGGTCTTCGCCCGGGTGCTCTCATCCGATCGCGCGCCCGGCTGGCTCGAGCCCGGGCACGCATCGTCACAATCCCACCAGCCCTCTGGGCGTGAGTGGTTCAGAGAGCCCCCTCTGTCCAACCCCCTTCTTCCCCTTCGGGATGGGGTTTACCCCTACCCCTACCCCTACCCCTACCCCTACCCCTACCCCTCCCCATGGGCCTGGAGGAGGAGGGGGGACCGCGGGTCGTTGGAACGTCTGCACTGGCCTAAGAGGGCGCCAAGACAGCCCAAGAGCTCAAGATGACCTCCAAGATCGCTCAAGATAGCACTCGATGACTCAGGATAACTCCTAACAAGCCTACACGAGGCTCCAAGACTGCCCCAAGACGGCCCCAAGTGGCCGCGGAGCCTTCCAAGGACGTCCCCGAGAGGCCAAAATCCTTCAGAAGCCTATCGACAATCTACGTTGTTTCCCTTCTCGCCTATTCGCTTTCATGGGCTCTCGAGGCTTCAGAGCCGCAAGACAAGCCCCACAAAGCCCCAAGACAGGCCCAAGAGAGGCCCAAGACGGGCCCAAGAGCGCCCAAGAGCGCCCCGAGAGCGGCCCCAAGAGGCCACTTTTCGGGTTCCGAAGGGGGATGGTAAGTGATGCCGCGCTCCTTTTTGAGTCGTGGCCTCCAAGGTGGCCCCAAAAGACCTCCGAGACCCCCCCACAGAGCCCCAAGCGGGCCCCAAGACCCCCAAAAAGAGCTCCAAGGGTGCCCCAAGAGGCACCACGGGAACTCCCAAAGAGCCCAGAGACCTCCAAAATATCCCCAAGAAGGCCCTTGGATAGCCCCAAGATGCCTCCAAGAGGCTCTCAGAGAGAAATACCCAGAAAAGGCACGTCGTCGTCGTAGTCGTCGTCTTCGTCGTCGGCATCGTCGCGGTCGTGATCGTCGTCGTCGTCGTCGTCAGCGTCATCGTCGTCGTAGTCGCGGTTGTCGTCGTCGTCGTCGTCGTCGTCGTCGTCGTCGTCGTCGTCGTCGTCGTCGTCGTTGTCGACATCGTCGTCGTCGCTGTCGTTCTTGTGGTCATCGCCGTCGTCGCCGTCGTCGCCGCTATCTCCATCTCGCCTCCCACCGCCTTCTCTTCTTCCTCCTCCTCCGCCTCGTCACCCACCCACTCCTCCCACAAGGACGAGCTAAAGGGGTGCAGGTGGGATGTAGGATGAACAGGAGGATATATTTGCGAAGGCAGGAGAAGGTACGCCCGAAAACAACGACAGTCAGTATGCTTCGCAAAAGTTGCTGATTTGTTATGGGCTGGTGGGGATCCTTTTTCAGTCGCGGGTGGACGCGGATTCGCAGTCGCCAAGCTGAGAGGTCCGGGCCACGGGCCTGTCGAATTAGCAACGCGCAAGCCTAAAAGCGCAGCGGCCGAGCCCGCACTCAGGAAGCAGCGCACGGCTGGTGGGGATACGCGAAGCGTGAAGAATTAGGATGCCTGGCACAGCCCCTGGCGGCGTCAGCCGGGGAGGGATCGCGCGACCTTAGTGGGCCCCGGAAACGGCAGGGCCGTTGTTTCACCGTTTCCGAAAAAGGAGCTCTTGAAAATGTAAGCGGCAAAAAAACGGCGACTGGAAACTGCAAAGAAACGGCTCCAGGATTGGAACTGGAGTCGGAACCGGTAAAGAAACAGCGACGGCGCCGGTACAAAAACGGCGTCGGAACGGGCAGAAAAACGGCAAAACGGAGCCGGTAAAAAACGGCCCTGTCGTCTCCAGGGCCCACTGAGCGCGCGAAATCTTGCCGCGTGGAGCCAAAAAAAGGCTCCTCATGCGGTCTCCGCCTGCCTCGCCGTCGCCGTGAGGCTGTCCACCGACTTCGTGATCTGGAAGTCGTCCTCTGGCCTCTCCATGGCCACGAGATCGTTAACCTCGCTTTCGACGCTTTCGACGCAGAGCTCCATGAAGCTCTTCAGCAGCTCTCCGAGGTCCTCCGCGGGAGGATGAGAAGGGGGAGTAGGAGGACGACGACGACGCCGACAGACGACAACGACGACGACAAATGACGACGACGACGACGACGAGAACGACGACGACGACGAGAACGACGACGACGACGACGACAGACTAGACGACGGACGAAGACGACGACAACGACAGACTACGACGGACGACGGACGACCGACAACGTCCGACCGACGACCGACGACAGTAGACTCTGTAGACCAACGACGACCGACGACGAACGATGGACGACGGACAACGGACGACTGACGACCACCGTCCAGCCGACGACCGACGACCGTAGACCGACGACGACCGTCGACGATCAGCAAGACCAGCGACGATAGACGACAACAAACGACGACAGACGACGACAGACGGGGACGACCAGCGCGGGGGCGGCCGAATCCTCGCCCTGCGAGATGTCGGACAAATCGTCCACGTCCATTGAATTCAGCCACTCGAGGAACTTCCGGCAGTAGGTAGTCACCAGCAGCTTGCGGGGCCGAGGAGGCTTGCCATCATTCTCATCGTGCTCAAATAGTCAGTATCCTCCTTACCTTCCATAGCCATCTTATTCCATCGATACCACCATCAGCATCACCATCGCCATCATCTCTAGGATCATCATTACCACAACCATCATCACAATCCTCATCCTCATCATCATCATCATCATCATCATCATCATCATCCTCATCATCATCATCATCATCATCAGCATCATCATCATCATCATCATCATCATCATCATCATCATCATCATCATCAGTATCATCATCATCATCATCATCAGCATCGTCATCATCATCATCATCATCATCAGCATCATCATCATCATCATAATAATCAGCATCATCATCATCATCATCATCGGCATCATCATCATCAGCATCATCATCAGCATCAACCTCATAATCCTAACCACCATCAGCACCATCAGTATCATCATCAGCAGCATCATTATCATCAGCCGTATCATCATCCTCCTCATCATCAGCAGCAGCAGCAGCATCACCATCATCAGCATCAGCAGCAGCATCAGCATCATCATCAGCAGCATCATCATCAGCAACATCATTATCATCAGCATCATCATCGCAACCACCACCATCATCAGAATCATCAGCAGCACTATCATCATCGTAATCAGTGTCATCATCATCGCTAGCACCACCATCATCATGGTCACCACCACCATATGCATGAGGATCACCTTCACAATCACCACAATCATCATCACAATCATCACCATGTCCTTCCTCACCATCACCATCGTGATCAGAATCATCAGCATCATCAAGAACACAATAATGTAATCGTGGGAATCATCGTTGCCATCACCGACACCAACATCTTCACCAATATCGTCATCATGATAAGCATCTCCATCGTAAGCATCGTCAACATCGCAGTCATTATCACCAACAGTAACAGCGACATCATCAACATCAGCATCATTGCCAAAATCGTCATCACCATCACCATCAGCATCAGCATCAGCATGATCATCCACATCATTGACATCATCAGTATTACCATCGTCATCACCACAAAAAGCATCATCGCAACCGTCGTAGTCATTATCATCAGCATCATCATCAGCAGCAGCAGCACCACCACCATCGCCATCATCACTCCACCTCCCGCTCTCCCTGCCTCCCTTCTCCTCCTTGTCCCTCCCATTGCCTCGCTCACTCCTTCTCCTCTGTCTATCCCTCTAGCAAGCTCCGCTCTGTCGCGCTACCCGACATGCCGCTAGGGCGGGCCGGGAGCTTCGCCCGAGACCTCCTCGCCGCTCACGGCTCTGAAGCTTGGCCCTTCCAGCAGCTTCACGGATGGAGCGCGGGTCGCTCGCTCGTCCAACGACTGCCCCACAGTGACAGGATGGAGGGCGGCCCCTCTTCAAAACTGGGCGATCCCTTAGGCGCCACGCACAATCGTCTCGAGACATACGAGAGCTGCAGGGACGGAGGGCGGTTCGCTTTGTCAAAGGGGGGGGGGGGGGGGGCGACTCGGCGCCGCGGACCCTTCGTTTTGAAAACGTCCAGTGGCCGGAGATTTCCGCAGACCCAATCCCCACGAGTATGGAGCTGCACAACTCTTGCATGGGATAGGGGGCAGCTCCCATGTCAGAACGGGGATCTCGCCCGACACTCCTTTCTATATTGTGTCAGCAGGAATCTGAAAATCTGGCAACGGCCAAACACAAACATACACACACAAACGGAGGGCATGTTTTTTTAGAGCGGCCTGAGAATCCCTCTATATTGTGCGATCAGGAATCCGACAGTTTCGCAACAAATACGCACACACGCGCACACGCACACACGAACACGCACACGCACACACACACAGGCTTTGTTCCGTCGGCGGCGAGGCAGAAGCAGTCCGCTCCAGCGTGGGGCCAATCGTGGCAGCCGAGAGGCGAAGTGTCCGGCGCACACACACACACACACTTTGGCGTCGGCGGCTGGGCAGAGTCCCTGCGCTGGCGATGGAAGCGAAACGGGGCAGACGTCGAGCGACGTGCGCCACCGTGCAGGAAGGTAGGGAGCCCACAAAGGACGTACGTGCCCAGCTATGTACATGAACACGGCCCCTCAATCCGCGAGACTGGCCGCGTGATACGAACCTTTACGCAATGCGTACTCTCGAAACCAGCGTGGATTCATGCATGTCTACGTCCTTCTTTCGCTCCTGAGAAGGGGGGGGAGGACGACGACCAGGCAACGGGGTGCCCTGGGGCGCGTGGCGCGGCCGTCACCGGCGCACACACACACACACACACACACACGCAGACCGAGGGCAGGCTCTTCAAAGTGGGGCCATCGCCAGGCAGCTCCTCGACTTGCCCGGAACCCCGCCCCGTCGCATGGAGGGAGGCCGCGGTGAGGCGAGGCGCAGACACACGCCACGTCCAGGGGGGCGGCCCTGCGAAGACACGGCGCCGATGCATCCCCGTGATTCATGAGCGCGAAGGCTCGCGGAGGAGGAAGGAGGGCGACGACGACGGCGGCGAACAGCGAAGGATGGAGGGAGGCTTCCCCGCAATCCTGGGCTCGAACGGGCCCATGCAATACTCCCTCGCGCCCCCTTGGGCGTGCGAGAACCAGCGCCTCACTCGAGACATCCTCGAAAGCTGCTCCGAAAGCGGAGGATGTCGAGCATGCAGACAGGCAAACCGTTCGAGAAATCCCCGCAATCTGGGCGCGAAAGGGCCCGTGCAATACCCCCTGGCTGCACACCCCTTGGGTGTGCTGAAACCAGCGCCTCGCTCGAGGCATCTTCAAAATCCGCTCCGCCATCATCATCATCATCATCATCATCATCATCATCATCATCATCATCATCATCATCATCATCATCATCATCATCATCATCATCATCATCATAATCATAATCATCATCATCATCATCATCATCATCATCATCATCATCATCATCAGCAGCAGCATCAGCATCAGCATCAGCAACAGCAGCAGCAGCAGCATCATCAACATTATCGTCGTCATCACCATTGTCATTACCATCATCACCATCACCATCATCATCATCATCAGCATCATCATATCCGTATCTTCCATCCTTGTCCGCATCCTCATCCTCATCCTCATCCTCATCATCACCATCACCATCATCACCACCACGACACCCACCACCACCACCATCATAATCATAATTATCATCATCAGCATCATCATCGTCATCATCAGCATCATCGTCATCAGCTTCATCATCGTCATCACGGTCATCCTCATCATCGTTATCATCATCAACAACAACACCAGCATAACCATCATCATCATCCGCATTATCAGCACCAGTATTATCACCTTCATCATCTTCATCATCAGCATGATCACCATAATTGTCGTCACCATCGTCATTATCATCGTCATAAGCACCATCGTTATCGTAACCATCATGATCATCAGCATGTTCAGCATCATCGCAGTGATCAGCATCATCAGCAGCAGCATCAGCATCATCGTCATCATCGCCATCATCATGATATGGGTCATCAACATTTTCATCCGAACCATCATCCGCATCAGCATCATCGTCATCATCATCGTCACCTGCATCAGCTTCAGCAGCACCATCATCTACCAAAAGAGACAGCATCCACTAATGTCATCAGCACCATCATCATCAGCACCACCATCAGCATCATCATCACCATCACCATTGATCTAATCATCATCACATCGCCTAAGTAGTAATCCTGAGTGCGACTCTGGGCGAGGAGGAAGAGGAAGAGGAGGAGAAGGGAGGTGAGTGAAAGGAGCCGGCGCGGTGGGAGTAATGGCAAGAACCCCGTCATTGGGATAGTAGGACCAAGAACCCCATCCTTAGGATATAGGAAACAATACTAACTGCACCTTCCGGCAACGATTAGGCGCGGGCGCCGCGCGATCACTTTGCATGACTATTTCACAAGGATGGTAGGGGGGGTACCTGGCACGCGCGGCGCACCTCGCGGGCGTCGCGCAATTGGCTGGAGTCGGCATTGCTTCCCGATGGTGGTCGGTGGCGGCCCCAGCCCGTGCTGAGACTCGAGTGCTACTTGCGTAGTGGGATGGCGGGTGGGAGTGAGCGAGAGGGCCGTCCTACGGAGGGGAAGGCTTGATCAATGCTCCCTATTGACGTACACCCTCTCACCCACCCGACGGGCGACAAACCAGGGACAATTGCCAATCCCCTTCCCCGCCATCCCTGGCCATCCCTGGCAAAAAACATTGCGAAGTGCAATTTGCGGCAAAATCTCGGGCCACAGTCATTGCATTTGTGACAGGGACGGCGGGGGTGCCGGCATATGGCCTCCTGCACGCAGGGCCACTACTCCGACCAAGAAACAAAACAGCATGCACTCCGCTACTAAATCTGGACCATGCGCGGGCACCCCCCGATCACTTTGCACTGGTCTTTTCGGCGGTGGACAAACCTCCCTTTAATAGACCTCCCCTTAGTGAAAACGGCCTGGGACCGAAACCGACGAACCTGGACCCGCAAAAATGACGGCCGCGACGCCCTCTCGCGAACCGAAAACGGCCAATTCCTTAATCGACGTGTCAGGGTAGGAGGTCTGTCCATCCCCGACTTTTAACAGGGACGGCTGGGGCTCATGAAGGTCACACCGCCGCGAGTGTGCCTTGGCCTTCGACGAGGGTGGCGCGGGCCGACGTGGCGCACCGCGGCCATTGGCTCCAAACGGCCCATCCAAAGACGACCGCCGAATGTGCTGAAACTCGGGTACTACTCCTGTGCTGGGAGGGCGGGCGGGACTGAGCCGAACAGTTTGCGCCTGGGAAGGGTCTCCTGACCCTTCCCCCAGGTCCCCTCCCCTGGCTGGACGGGGCGCCCCGCGAGGCGTTGGAGCGTCCAGGATGGTCCAAGATGGCCCCAAGAGAGCCTCAGAGCCCAAGATGACCCCCAAGATTGGTCAAAATACGATACGATTGCTCAAAGTGGTTTCCGACATGCTGCAATAGG